CCCCCCCCGGCCGCCCAGTCTTCTCCCTCCGCGCGCGCGCAGTTTCCCGCAGACCCGGAAGCGGACCTGACGGGAGGTCTCACGGCTGCGCGTGAGTTCCCGTCTATCTAGATTAAACCTGTGCTTCGTGGTCCTTCACCCGAAGTAAATTCAGACTTCACCCTGTGAAGGATTGCTTCCCTTTCGGTTTAAAATTGCTCTGTCGCCTGTCCCCCTGTCCCTTGTCTTTCTGCCTTAGTACCATGGACACCTCCTTTCGGGTCATTTTTCCTGCTTAAACCCCTTTTATGACTGACTGACCACCCCGCGTCTTGTGAAGCCCTCACCCGCGGAGTGGATTCAGGCCATTTCGGCCCCCCACGCCTCGCCCTTATTTGCCCCGGGGGGGCAATCCCCCCCCCCCCGCCCTGCTCCGGGAAGAGCCGCTTCCTCTCCCCGGTCCTGGGATTCTGCAGACCCGCACTCTGCTGAGAAACCACAGCCCAGCACCTCGTGTCCTCCCCAGGCCTCCACTTCACAGTCACCGCTCCCCTGACCCCGTGTTGGGGGAGGTGACCTGGGCTTGTCTTGTGACATACAGCGTCCTTCCATCCCAAATTCCACCTCACTGAAAAATGCGCTCTTCCGGGAGCCGGCCATCTTACTCCATCCCCCTCCTTCTGAATGTGTGGGGGAGAGGGATCGTGAGAGAGACAGCGACGGAGAGAAATTTAAAAATTAGGAGAAAAGAGGAATGAGGGAGAATCTCAAACAGATGGCAAAGTGGAGGATGATTTAGGGATTTACATACAGACACCAAGATGAGAGAGAACACGCCGGGAAAGAAGCAGGGGAAGGAAAGCAAATAGAGGAATTTAGAGAAAAGGGGCATCTCCAGGGAGATGAAGGGGAGCAAAATAGGGAGAGGGGCCCTTGATCAGCAGTAGGAGAGAGGGTAATAAAGGGCACTGGGGACAGAGTAAGCAAGAAGACAGAAGAATTGTAGCCAAGAGTTGGAGCCAAGGCAGACAGAGCAACTTGGTGCTGGGACTGAAGGAGGGAGCAGTTGGTGGGGGAGAATCAGCATGGAGTTAGCATAGGGATCTGAGGGTGCCAGGGAGAGGGGACAAAGGTGGTGTAACATGGAAAGAGGAAATGTAACAGGGCGAGCACCCTGGAGTAGAAGTGGGAGAAGAAAGAGGCAGAAATACGTAGAGATTTAGGACAATCAGAAAAATTGGGGAAAAAGTGCAACAAGAGGTGAAATAAGTAGCAAGAATGGGGCAGAACAAGTAGAAGAGAAGGAATAGAGAGAAGGGGAGAAACAGGAGAGGAGAGGGGCACAAAGTGAGCAGAAACCGAGAAGGAAAACAGGAAAGCAAAAAAAGGTAGGGTAGATTTACAGAATGAGAGAGGGAAACACATAGTAGTGAAGAGAAGACCCGGATCCAGAGTGGTGAGTTGATTGGATCTGAATGATAAAGTTATAATATATTGTCTTGTGGCTTTATAATCTAATTTAAAATTTGATTTTTTAGATTGTACAGATGAGGATGAGAATTAGAAAACTTCTTTCTACAAGGCTGTGTATTTTGTATTTATTTGTATCAGAAGATTACTTCCATTTGTATTCCCTATGCAGTCAGAGAGCTGTGACTTGATTCAGTCAGTTGTGGGTCACCCTCTTTCCCGGGATGGGGTAGGGGTTGTGGGGAGGAGAGAAACGGAGCAAGAAACGACTGACTCTATCACTACAAGATATGTCTTTAAAGGACCATTAAAAGTCTTAACTTTTTGTAATGGATTTACTTTTTTCTTTGTAGTTCTTTTACATTTAATTCATTGTTCTTTTTGAAGCTCGAGATAAATTTTATTTTGTTCAATTTATACTTTTCTATTAAAAATTATTACCTTCTGAAATAAGAATTAGTGGTATCCTATAATCAGCTCGTGTTATTCATTTCTAAATACTAGATATTGTCATTTTGTTTAACTTTGATTTAGAATTTTTCGTTTAACTTTGATTTACATTTGTTTTAGATTTTTAGAAAAATCTAATCATTAGATTTTTCACAAACTTTCCAAAGTGCTTTATGGTTTTTCCAGCTGTTATGCCAAGTGAAATAAGGCAGACACAGAAAGACAAAATACTGTATGATCTCACTTATGTGTAGAATCTAAAAATGTCCAACTCCTAGTAGAATGGTGGTTGTCAGGGGCTCTTGGGTGGGGAAAATGGAGAGAAGTTGGTCAAAGAATACAAAGTTTCAATTATAAAATGAAGTTCTGTGGAATCTAAAGTACATCTTGGTGACCATAGTTAATAATACTGTATTGTATTCTTGAAATTTGCTGAGAGTAGATCTTAAATGTTCTCACCACACACACACTATAACTATGTGATGCATTAATTAACTCGACTGTGGTTTATTGAGGTATTATTGACAAATAAGAATTGTATATGTTTAAGGTGTACAATCTGATGATTTAATATAATCATCAGATTGTACACCTTAAACATATACAATTCTATATATATACACATTGTGATGATTACCACAGTCGAGTTAATTAATGCATCACATAGTTATAGTGTGTGTGTGGTGAGAACATTTAAGATCTACTCTCAGCAAATTTCAAGAATACAATACAGTATTATTAACTATGGTCACCAAGATGTACTTTAGATTCCACAGAACTTCATTTTATAATTGAAACTTTGTATTCTTTGACCAACTTCTCTCCATTTTCCCCACCCAAGAGCCCCTGACAACCACCATTCTACTAGGAGTTGGACATTTTTAGATTCTACACATAAGTGAGATCATACAGTATTTTGTCTTTCTGTGTCTGCCTTATTTCACTTGGCATAACATTCTCTAGGTTCATTTACGTTGTCACAAATAATAGGATTTTCTTCTTCTTTTTTTTTTTTTTTTTCTCTCTCTTTTTGGTGCCTGGCTGTGCAGGGATCTGAACCCTTGATTCTTGCGTTATCAGCACCACACTCTCCCAAGTGAGCTAACCGGTCAGCCCTGGGATCTTTTTCTTTTTATGGTTGAATAATATCCCATTATATGTATACATATGAATATATATGTACACACACACACAAGGAGTCTTCAAAAAGTACATGGAAGGATTCGCGTTATCTTTTAATTCCATTTTTCCATGAATTTTTTGAAGTACCCTTGAATACACCACATTTTAAAAATACTTTCTTTTTTTGTTTTTCCCTTTTTGTCTTTTTTCGTGTCTGGCAACGGATTGCAACCCTCAGTGTCGCGCCCGTACCGGACCGGGACCGGCAACGGGATCGCAACCCTCGGTGTCGCGCCCGCACCTTGCTCAGCCAGTGAGCGGGAACCGGTCTGTATGTGGGATCCGAACCCTCGGCAGGAGCGCCACCACGCTCCCAAGCGGCGCACTGTAGCAGTGCGCCACCGGGCCGGCCCTTAAAAATACTTTCATTCATCGACAGGCACTTAAGTTGTTTCCACATCTTGGCTATTGTGAATAATGCTGTAGTTATTGTGAGGGTGCAGATATCACTTCAAGACAATGAATTCATTTCCTTTGGATATATACCCAGATATGGGATTGCTGAATTGTATGGTTGTTCTATGTTTAATATTTGAAGAACTTTCCACACTGTTTTCCATAATGTTTATGCTGATTAACACTCCCACCAAGAGTGTACTAGAGTTCACTTTTCTCCACACTCTAACACTTATCTCTCGTCTTTTTGATAATAGCTTAAGAGGTATGAGGTGATAACTTATGGTGGTTTTGGTTTTCATTTCCCTGACGATTAACGATCTTTTCATAAACCAGTTGGCCATTTGTGTGCTTTTGGAAAATATCTATTCAGGTCCTTTGCCCAATTTCAATCATGTTGTCAGATATATGAGGGTACTTCAAAAATTTCATGGAAAAATGGAACTAAAAGATAATATGAATCTTTCCATGAATTTTCTGAAGACCCCTAAGGGTTTATTTCTGGGCTCTCTATTGTGCCCTATTAGTCTATGTGTTTTTGTGCCAGTACCATACTGTTATATATTACTACAGATTTAAAATAGAGTTTCAGTCAGGAAATGTGATGACTTCAGCTGTGTACTTTCTCAAGATTGCTTTGGCTATATTGGGTCTTTAGTGGTTCTATACAAATTTCAGGATTTTTTTTATTTCTGTGAAAAAATGGCATTGGAATTTTGGTAGGGAATATACTGAATCTATAGATTTTGGAAGTATGGACATATTTTATATATATATATATATATATATATATATATATATGTTTTTGGCAGCTGGCTGATATGGGGATCTGAACCCTTGACCTTGGTGTTATAACACTGTGCTCTAATTAGGTGAGCTAACTAGCTAGCCAGTATTGACATTTTAATAATTTTAACAATATTCTTTCAATCCATGAGCATGGATACCTTATTATTTATGTGTGCTTCATTTTCTTTCATTTGTATCTTTCAGTGAACAGATCTTTCACTTCATTGGTTAAATCTATTCCTAGGTATTTTATACCTTTCAATGCTTTTTTTTTTATTGAGTCATAATTGATTATACATATTTTTGGGATTCAGTGTTGACATATGTTGATCAAATCAGTATTACTAGTATGTATATTGTTACAAATTGTACTTATTCTTTATGCCCCTTTTCCAATCTCTCCCTATCCCTTCTCCCTACCCTCTCCCACCACTGATAACCCTAGATTTCTTCTCTCCCTCTGAAAGAGTAATGGTTACTCTGTTGATTTGTTGCCTAGATGATCTGTCCAATGCTGAAAGGTGTGTTCAGGTCCCCCAATATTATCATAGAACAGATGCCTCTTCTGTCACTCTGGAATGGGCTCTGTGGAGAGAGGCATCCTATTTTTTTCTTTGGTCTCTGCTGGTGACTCTCCCTGTGTCAGTATACTCCAGTGGCTGGCGGACCATCTGTGTAGTGGTTGTGATGTCTAGCTACTTTTGCGGCAGCCGTGGTTACTGTGGTGGCTGTGATGGGCCACCCCCATGGAGGTAATGTTTTTGGCATGCTCCTTGGCGATGGTGGTGTGCCTGGTTGTGGGTGGGAGGTCCGGTCCCCGGCTCCACACCTCAGGTCTCTGGGCGGCCCAAGGCGCTGGTGGTGCGCCTGTGCCAGAACTAATTTTTTGCCCTTTGCTTACTTCTAAAATGGGGGAACTTCCTGTGGGAACTGTACTTGAGCTGTGTTATTGAGCTAAATTTTAGTGCTATTTTAAATGAGACTTTTTTTAAATTTCTTTTTTCAGATAGTTTGTTTTTTGTGTATAGAAATATCTGGGGCCTGTCTTTCTCTATGAAGTCCTCACTGAGCTCAATCCAGCCAACCCCCAACTGCCTTTAAACCAGACTCCATGTTGTCCTCAGTTGCTGGCAAGTTTCGCAACAAGGCCAACTTCATGGTCTTCATGCTGAAGACCCACGGTCCTTCAGTTTGCAGTTTGTGTTCATTCTTACTGTGTTGCATGTGTCCATAGGTCCCAGTACCTTTTAGCTCAGTTTGTTTATGTATGGAAGAGAGGTAGGAAACTGGGGAAAAGTGGAGAGGAGCCCTTAGAGTTCTCCAGGAGGGGTGAAGAAGCAAAAGTGGGCCTCTGGATGAGCCCAGTGAATGGTATGTGCACCTGTCCCAAGTGCAGTTGTGGGATCAAGGGCTGTGTGGAACTCCTAAAAGGAAAGTCTTAGGTCTGGCTGGAACACCTGGAAGTGGGTTTATGTGTGGTTGTGGGCCTGCATCAATGGTTTTGGAATGCCATAGTGTCTTTGCTCAGGTTCTCTGGGACTCAGATGCTGAGACTGAGATTTACATGTAGGGATTTACTGAGAAATTCATGATCACATATGAAGAGTACTGAAGGCAGTGGAATTAGACAGAGAGAAACATTATCCTGCAGTGTAGTTAGAACCAAGGCCTAAGTAGGAAACCAACAGGAAGCTCAGGTAGCAGGAGGATGGGCATCTTGGTCCTGAGGGGTGGATCCCAGAGGTGCACCGCAGCATCTACTCTGTATGGTGGTTTCTATGAGGTCTTTTGGGAGTGTGAGAATCACCACACAAGCCACAGAAGAATTGTGGGCAAAATTTCAGAGATAATTTTTGGTTATACCTTTGCTATTTTGATATATTTTGGGTTGTAAATCAGGAAGGTTTCAGATGGATTTTGGAAAATACAGATGACAGTTTGGAGTGTTTCCATGGAAGATGTTGGGGTCTCTTTGGGGCAGGTACATCATTGGAGACATCTCTTTTTTATTAGTAGATATTGGTGGTGCCAGTGTTTGGGTGTGGGGTCATTATGAATGAACTATGGCATCTTGGGTCATTGAATCCTTGGGTATCTTTATATGTATTATTCCGTAATGAATTAATGAGTTATTGGGGAGTATATGGGATTTCATAGCAGGAAGAGGGGATCATTATGGAGTATCTGGGAAGTGTGTAGGACCCCTGGGAGTTTCTAAGAGTGTCTCCGTCCAGAAGGGGAACAACGGGGCCTAAGGTACGGTTGGCAGATGGTTTTCATTAGGGAGGGTTTGCTGTGGGTGGATCAATGGGAGGGTCATGATTTAGGGAAAGATTTTTCCAACAATCAGAGGGCAAGCAATGCCACAGTGATTTGCAATACAAAGACTTAAATATGTACTGTCTTTGGGAAGATGCAGTTGCTGCTTCCTTGCTCCCAGGTCCCTGGTGTTTACTTTCTACTTCTCCGTGTCTGTTCCAACACACACAGTCATAATGTAGCTGGGGAGCTGAGGGACACTTTTTTTCCTGGTGTCTACTGAACCCTGCTCTGTGAATGTTTGAGTGACCCACAGTTTAGTTTGAACCTCTTCTTCTTTCCTTGTTTCCTTGTTTCTGTTCACACCCACTGCTTTTCCTTGACATTTGTTCTCATGGCTTTGAACATCACCTACCTGTTTCCATTTCCCCTGCAAACCTCTCTTCTAAACTCTAGAATCCTGTGTCCAGTTGTCTCCTCAACTCTCTGCTGGGACATTTAAGACACATCTCCACCTTCATATGTCCAAAAGTGACTCCATGAGCTCCCCCAAAGGTGTTCTCCTTCAGTCCTGTACATCTCAGGTAAGGGTGACCCTCTGTCTCCTGGAGCTTAACTGAAGATCTAAGCATATACCTGCAATGTAGATAATATTACATTTCTTAAAAGTGTTTTGTTTGTTTTGCAGCTGGCCAGTACAGAATTGAACCCAGGACCTTGGTGTACTTAGAAGTATTTTAAGTATTTATAAAGAAAAAATTATATTTGCTTAAAACAGGTGAGGAAATACATCATTGTCAAAATTCTACTGAAGGGTGGGAGAGAAATGTTTGGAGACCTCAGCCCTGCCTGACGTGCTTCCCCCAGTACCTCTGACCTCATCTCCTGCTTGTGTCCTCCTCTCTCACTCTGCTCCAACCTCACAAGCCTCTGTCTTTTTCCTGGGGCTAAAGTTGCTCCTGCCTCAGGATCTTCATTTGGGCTGTCTCTCTGCCTAGAATTCTCTGGCTCTTCAGCTACAGGTGGCAAACACCTTTCCTTCCTCAGGTCGTTGTTCTGATATGACCTCAGTGGAGACTTCTGTGACACCCCCCCCCACATTAACATTTGCGCCACACCTCACCTCCACTTCTGGTCTATATTGCCTGCTCCGCATGTTTATTTCTGCTCGTTCACCTCCCACCATCTGGATACTGGTGAATATCAAGGCCCCAGGGGGACAGCAGAGCCAGAAGGTGGGAGGTGTGCTGGGCTTGCCCCTCAGTGGTTCTGATCCCTGGCTTCACATTACAGTAATGAGGCTTTTTTTTTTTTTTAAAGATGACTGGTGAGGGGCCGGCCTGGTGGCGCACTGCTACAGTGCACCGCTTGGGAAGCGCGGCAGCGCTCCCGCCGAGGGTTCGGATCCCACATACAGACCGGCCGCTCACTGGCTGAGCGAGGTGCGGGAGCAACACCGAGGATTGCGATCCCGTTGCCGTCCCAGTCCGGTACAGGCGCGACACTGAGGGTTGCGATCCATTGCTGGTCACGAAAAAAGACAAAAAGGAAAAAAAAAAAGATGACTGGTGAGGGGAACTTAACCCTTGACTTGTCAGCACCATGTGAGCTAACCAGCCATCCCTATATGGGATCCAAACCCATGGCCTTGGTGTTATCAGCACCACACTCTCCCAAGTGAGCCATGGGCTGGTCCAGAGTACTGAGGCATTTTTGCAAATATTCTCTTGTGTTCCTTTACCAGAGATTCTCATTCACATAGTCAGTTTGGGTACCTGTCTTAACAATATTTAGAGTTGACCTTAATCTGTATCCAGCATTGAGCACCAAGACTTGGTGAACTTTTTTTCTGATGGCTAAGATTAGCCTGTGATACATGGAGGGATGAGTGAGTCTGTGCTTTGCATCAGGTTTGGTCAGGGCTGGGTTTGTGCCCTGAAGGGGAGCTCAGTTCAGCCCAGCTACCCTCTGCTACAGCATGTGTGGGGGCTTCACCAGGCAGGGGACAAGATCTGAAGAAAGGGGTTAAAACTCATTTGTTGGCCTTCCTGTAGGAATTTATTGTCCCTGCATCCCCTCTGGTGCAGTGGGCAGCAGAGGACCATCTTACTACATGGTTAAGTCTTCCCTGCGTGTGTAGTTGTGGTACAGGAAAAGGGTGTGTTGTTTGTAAGCATTCAGCTGCTTATTTTGACATTCAGGATTGACTTCTAAAGTCTCGCATCACCTGAGGAAGAAGCCTGGAAGACTAGGAAGAGGACTGAAAAGGAGTCAGGAATGGCTCTTACTCAGGTAAAATGATATTCTCAGTTGATTGTTCTGTGTGATTCCTTTCTGACATGTGGGCACTGGAGTTGCTAATCTCTGACTCTGAAGTTTCCTGCCTGACATGTTTGCTCTCACTCACCCATGTCTTCCTTTAGTCCCTCTCATCTCCACTTAGATTCCATCTCACCAAGACCCAGAGATGTGGAACTTGTAAAGAGGCTCCACTGGGCATGGTCCTGGGAAGGGCTTCACTCCGACATAAATTGGAGATGGGGTGTGGGCCCCATGGTGTCAGTGCTTTTGGGCAGCAGGGATTGTTTAGGGGCCACATCTGGATACACTATCAGCTCTCTCTAGACTAGGATTAGAGAAGGTATATGTGAAGTCATGTAATAATGTGCACAAGTACCTGATAAATTCTGGAAAAAGAGGCCTATTAGAGAAAATTTGTTCTGCCTGTTTTTATAAAACATTTGAAAGTAAATGAGTCACTATGTTTCTGACTTCAAAATCTTAATGATTGGGACTGGAATAGAAAGCTAGACACAGACTTCTGTGATAGAGGATTTTTTATTCCATCTTCGATTTTAAAATATGAAATCAATCTGAGTGTCTAACAGCAGGAGATTCAGTAAGCCATTCTCAGTACATTCATCCCACAAGCACTGTGCTGTTTTTGCAGATAGTCTTAGGCAGCAGGGATTTTAAGCAAAGATTATAATTTTTCACAGACGTGCGAGCAGAACTTCTTTGTCTTCAGAGAAGATGGAGCCAAATTTTCATTCCACCAGCTATTATTAAATATTAGGTTTCTTTTATTTTAAACAGTACATGATGTATATGTGAGGATATTTCAAAAAGTTCGTGGAAAAATATAATTTAAAGATAATACAAACTTTTCCTGAACTTTTTGAAAACTCCTCATATATGTTTTGTGGTAAGAGTCCAAACAAAGATGTTGCCCTGAGACATGAAGCATCTCCTTTCCTGTCCCATTCTCCACCTTCCCTCATGTCTCAGTGGGGAACCACTGTTGTTCTGTGACAGGAGTCAATGAAAATGTCAAGATGCATTTACATGTCACTTTGAGATATTATAAAAAAAACTTTAGTAAATATTCTTCTTTGATATTTTATTTTGCAAATTTTTGAAATTACGTGTTTTCATGTTACAAATCAGAGAGCCTGCTCTTTTACATCCTCATTGGAGCATTCTCTGAATGAAGACACATGGGTCTTTCACAATTTTTCACTGTTTAAGAATGCCATAGTGGCTGCCTCTGAGCTTACAACCTTCACTACAGATATGTGAGGCTTCCTCCAGGTTGGGCAATTGAAAGAGTGATTACTTCTTCAAGGATGGTGCATTTCCTATTTTGCCAGATCGGGCAAGATTCCTTCCCTAGCCCCAGTGGCAAAGTTTCCTTCTCCCAGCAATATCATATGAGATTTCCTCCCTCATTTAAGAAAAACTTGCTACTTTGTTCTTTTTACATTTTGGAAATTTAGGTAAAATGACAACCTTTTGTATTTCCATTTTCTAGTTCCTTTGGAGTCTGAATAGGTTTCCTTATTTTGTGGAAGCGTATATATAAAATAGATTTTCATACTTTGCTCAATTTTCTTTTAATGTATTATAGGAGCTATTTTATATTATAGTTTATTTCTGTTTTGTTTTGATGGCTGGCCAGTATATTATATACTTTAATTCTGTATATATAACATGGTATCTTTTTTAGGTTATAATTGGTTTTTAGTGTGAAACAGAAATTTTCTTTCTTCATGCTCCATGTTTTTTGTTTGTTGTTTGTTTTATCTTTCTTTGGAAGGCCTGACTCATTGCATGATTGCAAGATACCATATTCTTTTTAGATATAGTGTTTTCTTGTTTAAATTTTTTTTTTCCTTTTTGTCTTTTTTCGTGACCGGTAACGGGATCGCAACCCTTGGTGTCACGCCCGTACCGCGACCGGCAACGGGATCGCGACCCTCGGTGTCGCGCCTGCATCGCGCTTAACCAGTGAGCGGACCGGTCTCTATATGGGATCCGAACCCTCGGCGGGAGCGCCACCGCACTCCCAAGCACCGCACTCTACCGAGTGCGCCACTGGGCCGGCCCTGTTTAAAATTTTTTTATGTCTCTCTTTATTTGGATTTTTGTGTATATATTTTTGTAGGTATTACATTTTTTTTTCCTTTTTGTCTTTTTTCGTGACCGGTAACGGGATCGCAACCCTCGGTGTTGTGCCCGTACCGCGACTGGCAATGGGATCGCAACCCTCAGTGTCGCATCCGCACCGTGCTCAACCAGTGAGTGGACCCGTCTCTATATGGGATCCGAACCCTCCACGGGAGCACTGCCGTGCTCCCAAGCGCCGCACTCTACCGAGTGTGCTACCGGGCCAGCCCTGTAGGTATTACATTTGATTGACTTTAAAATTTTAGATTATATGTATCATATTAGATTCATATGTAGTTTGGCATACCACTCCATTTTATTTTCACAATTATGTTGGTTCTTACACATGACACAGTCAGATTTTATTGAAATCTTACATGTTTATTTTGTTTGAATGCCTCTGAATTTCTAGTCACAGAAGTCTTTATATTACCACATCTTCTAATAAGAATTGTGTTTGTCAGTCTCTGATCATATCTTTTTTATGTCTTTTAGTAAGGATGGTTTGTTTATAGTTCTGTGATGTTAGGTATATTGACATTATTGTACAACAGATCTCTAGAAGGTTTTCTTCTTGCAAAACTGAAACTCAATACCCACTAAGCACTAATTCACCCTTTCACCCCTTACAGCCTTTGTAAACTATCTTTCTGTGTTGTGCCTGTATGATTTTGACTCCTTTAGACACTATATGAGTGGAATCATGCAGTATTTGTCCTTTTGCGACTGGCTTATTCCCCTTAGCATAATGTCCATGAGATATTTACTATGTTGTAGCCTGTGACAGGAGTTCCTTCTTTTTTAAGGCTGAGTCATATTTCTTTGTATGTATATACCACATTTTATTTATCCATTCATCTGTGGATGGACATTTTGGTTGGTTCCACTTCTTGGCTATTGTGAATAATGATGCAGTGAACATGGGTTTACAAATATCTCTTTGAGATTCTGCTTTCAGTTATTTTATATATATGTACCCAGAAGTGGGATTGCTGGATCCTATGATAATTCTACTTTTAATTTTTTGAGGAATCTTCATACTGTTTTCCATAATGGCTACATAATTTTGCATTCCCACTAACGGAGCATAAAGATTCTAATTTCTTTGTTTTTTTTTTTTTTTTTTAAAGATGACTGGTAAGGGGATCTTAACCCTTGACTTGGTGTTGTCAGCACCACGCTCTCCCAAGTGAGCTAGCCGGCCATCCCTATATAGGGATCCGAACCCATGGCCTTGGTGTTATCAGCACCACACTCTCCCAAGTGAGCCACTGGCTGGCCCAAGATTCTAATTTCTCCATATCCTTACCAACACTTTTTATATCTTCTATATATAATTGCCTGTGTTTTGCCCATCATTGTATTTTTTTATTGTTGAGTTGCAGAAGTTCCTTATATATTCTGTATATTAACCTCTTATCATGTACATGATTTGAAAATCTTTTTCCAATTCTATAGGTAGCCTTTTCACTGTCTTAATTATTTCTTTTGATGTTTATGACTGATGTAATCCCGTTTGTCTATTTTTCATTTATTTGTGCTTTTGGAGTCATCTCAAAAAAATCGTTGACAAATCCAATGTCCTGAGGTTTTTTTCTTTTGTGGTTTGAGTCTTTGTCCCCTCCAAAACTCAGGGCTGAAATTTACTTGCCGTTGTAATAGTGTTAAGAGGTGCTTAGCTCATGTGGGATCTTCCCTCACGAATGGATTAATTCCCTTATCAAGGGATTGGGTTCTGTCCCTCTTGCTCTCTCTTGCCCTCTCTTTGCCCTTCCACTATGTGATTTCT